TACTTTCTAATTCTTGGCTTTGCTTTTTCTTTCCATCTCAGATACAGAAACTGGAAGCCATTTGAAATCTTTGCAAGCCAAAGGTTTCTCTTGGGCAAAAGAAAAAGGAGCGGAAAAACTTGCAGGGATCCGTCCTGCAGCCCCAGAAATGGTCCCGTGAAGGAAAAGGCATCTGGAGACCCACCAGAGTCCTTGGACCCATCTGGAGTTGCTCTGCAGGACAGAGAAAGGATGGAGACACAAGCTTTTGCCAAGGAGGGAAGCGGAAAAGGCCCTTCGGCTGCTCAGCCTGGGAAGGTTGGGAAACTCTGGACAAGGACTGGGCAGAAGATGCTGGAGGAGGAAACCATCCTCCCTTCCGAAGTTCAGTCCTTGGGTTTAATCCAATACTGGGAGGCTGAAGGTCCTCGAGGACTTTGCAGCCGACTCCATGACATTTGCAGGCAATGGCTGAGACCAGAAAAACACTCCAAAGCCCAGATGCTGGACCTGGTGGTTCTGGAGCATCTCCTGGGTCTCCTGCCTCCGGAGATGGAGAGCTGGATTCGGGAGTGTGGAGCAGAGAGCAGTTCCCAGGCGGTGGCCCCGGCGGAAGGCTTCCTCCTGAGCCAGGCGGAGGAGCAGAAGAAGCAGGTCCAGTTGCAGGTGAGAGATTTTAGGGACCTCAGAAGGGAATAGAGAAAGTGTTTGAATACTTCACCCCTCTTTGGCCTTCATCATATGTGGCAATTCACCTATTCTTGTAGGACGTTGTTCCATTGTTTTCTCATTCAATCTTACAGGTGGGTATTGGGGACCTTGAGGTTGTGTTCCGAATATAAGAATCCACTTTATTTCGTGTGACGTACATTAATTCTGCTTCTTTCTTCCTTCCTCTCCTATTGGAAGGGCTGCACTGTGGAGATCAGAGATCCTGAGGGAAGGAAGAGCCCATCAAATCCCCCTCAGGAGCTATTTTTCAGGAGGTCCCCTTGGGAAGATCAAAGTCAGGACGCCTCAGGAGGTAATGGAAGATCTTCCGATTTCCCATCTGTCTTCCTTTCACTCTCTCTTCTCTTGTATAGAATACCTCCTCCTATTTTGTTAATTATGCATTTTGAAATTATTTGTTCCTTACAGAGAAACAAAGAATGAACGTTTCTGGTTTTTATGATGGAAATCAAATAACGGTTGAACCTCCAAATCAAGTAAGAAAGGGAAGTTATTAGATTTGTATTCTCCCTTCAGTAAGTGAAGCGGGTGTGCAGAGTGCTCCCTCCTTCTCCCCCCCCCACTTGTTTGGCCTGGATCATTTTTGTGTTATTCCACAACATGGAGAGCAGAATAGCAGGTTCAGCTTGCTGTAAGTCAGCATAGCTTCCTCTGTTTATCTTCTTCTAGGCACTCCTCCAACTTTTAAGTTTACAATCAAGATCACGTGAAGTGTTAATACCACTTTATAATGCCTTGGTAAGGCCACACTTGGAATACTGCATTCAGTTTTGGTCACCACGATGTAGAAAAGATGCAGAGACCCTAGAAAGTGCAGAGAAGAGCAACAAAGAGGATTAGGGGCCTGGAGCCTAAAACATATGAAGAACGGTTGCATGAACTGGCTATGTCTAGTTTAATGAAAAGAAGGACTAGGGGAGACATGATAACAGTCTTCCAATATCTCAGGGGTTG